AGGGGAACCAAAAGTTACCATGCGCGCAGAGTCTAGTTATAAACTACTGAAAACGAAGCTCTCTTTTGAGAAGCAAAGTCGAACGAATACAAAGGGTAATCAAAAGTAAGATTGAGAGTTGGAAACTAGATGTACAGGGTGTTTCATATGTATGCAACCCCCTCTAAACTCATACATGTACACAGTAACATTGCCAACCTATCATGTTATTTAGAATAGGATTTTATTAGTACTGATGCCCTTTTAGGGCCAAACGTACATCCGATATGCAATTTTCAAGAACAGTAAACTGATATATAATTTTGTTCCTTATGAAAAGTTACATAGGATTGGAAAGTGTCCCTGAAAAAAGATACAATCCATCAAAATATGTGGGTAGGGGGTCATTTATAAGCAGTTTTGTAAGGATTTTTAAGCCAGTCCGGTGATCTTTTCACGTTGTCTGCAACCCAATTTGGTGATAAGGGTGGTACCATGGGCCGTGACCTCCCTATAAACCACTGCATGAACCCTGTCTATATATCTTTGTGCATAACTGCCACAGACATGTGGACTGAGCTCTGCCATGGTAACAATAGCCAGAAATGTGCAATACGGAAACTAAAGTCATTTGAATTGTACATTTATTTGTGTAAACATCACAGTGATGAGACTTTTCCTTATTTTGAAATCTCAGTTGTACTAATATTGAGGGGTCACGATTCTATATTATTCCCAAATCTAAAAAATATCATTTACAAAGCATTGTACATAATCATTTACAAAGCATTGTACATAATCATTTACAAAGCATTGTACATAATCATGAATCACAGCAGTTTATTTCTCTATGAGATCATAAGAACATTTATTGAAGCGGATGCGTTCTACAGAAATCTTCTTTTTTAGATGTAAAGTATCGAGTATTCTTTCATGGTATTTAATTCCACAATCTGTTTTTCAGGTCAACTCAAATGGTTTTGTGAGCTTATTTCATATCTATTCACCTACTGTTTCACCTACTATTTAGAAAAATGCCCGAAAATCTCAATATGCCATATATAGGTATTTACAGGGAGGGATTGAATATGGGTTTTATTCCTCGGATAATATGATATTGACCGAAATCCTGACTAGAAATGTTTGAATCTAAATTTCAAAGTTTATAACCGGGAAACCAAAAATAGGTTAATACACTCCAATACGATTTTTACCCGGGGACAATACGATTTTTTCATGGAATACGCTCCAATACGATTTTTTTACCCGGGGACAATACGAATTTCAATACGATTTTTCCTTTCGTATTTCCCTGTGTTTCGTTTTTCTTGGATTTGCAATCAGAATTTGGATCTAATTATAAAATTAGGTTTTAAACACCCCTGATACAATTAACGATTCCTTTGATTTAAGCACTTTTGAAAAACATAAGCTAACTTTTTGTTACAGTCGCCTTAACAAAAGAACATACTTAATACGCAATCAATGAAGAAACTCCAAGATTGACACATTGAAATAGATAACAATTGTCTTAAAGATGGGTGATGTTTGCGATTGATCTGGGCAGGGTAAGACCTATCGCAACGTTTTGGCCAGTTGCGATTGGAACATCTTTCAATTTGCGATTGCATTGCGCATACAGGCTGAGAGGATGATACAGGTACAAACCCTGATTGTGATTGAAATTGCGTTGCATTGTAGTGCGCTTGCGAATCTGCATTGCGACGGAGCGGGTGAAGAGGCATTATCAGTTTTCCAACGGTACAAAATTAATTTATATATCGTAACTTTACAGTACCGTTCTGAATCAAATATACTCATTTATTCAAAAATATGCAAAATAATGGAGTGATGACGTCACAATCAATATGCAAATTAGCTAATTTGCATCAAAGTAAGTTCCAAAACTTGAACTTTTAATTCTCTTTAATTTGATACCAATTTCATCAAAATCGGAGCAATATTAGTAAAGTTACGCATGAGAAAACATTTTCTGCTTATTAGCACCATATTTCTGTGGTTACTATGGAAATGGGCATTTTAGACACATTCGGTCCACATTTCATAATTGCTATTAAGCAGATCCTAATACTAGGAATCATGAGCTTTCTGACCGTACCAAATTCATGAATATGTTGTCACTTAAAATTACCGTACTGAAAGAAATATGCTCATTTATCTAAAAATATGCAAAATAATGCAGTTATGACGTCACAATCAATATGCAAATGAGCTAATCTAATTTGCATAAATGTTATTTTCAAAAATGGAACTTTTCATTCTCTTTAATTTGATACCAATTTCATCAAAATCGGAGCAATTTCAGTAAAGTTATGCATAAAAGATATTTTCCGATTATTAACACTAATTTGTGGTTACTATGAAAACGGACATTTTAGACACATTTGGCCCTCTTTTTGTAATTACTTTTTTAAAAGTGAATCTCAAAACCAAACACTACAAGCTTTCACACGGTACCAAATTCATGAATATGTTCTAACCGTAAATAACTGTACTGAAATAAATATACTCGTTTATCCTATGCCAAGTAGAGTTTTAGGGAGATAAGTTGGTAAGATATATCCCGTATCCTGATTTTAAGGTTTCCATATCCAGAACCTCCATATCTCCCGCCATATCTCCCGCTTCGGTGCATATCTTCCCGCTTCCGGTAAGTAGTGGAAATGCAATAAAATGACTTTGCATATGAATGATTTGTTTATTTTTACACCTTGTACTATTGTAATGGCCATATGCCCCTGAAAACTCTACTTGGTATAGGATAAAGCAGTTATGTACGGTCGGTTTGGATATTGGGTTCATCCCTCGTGAGATATGCACATCTACCTTCGGGCCCTACGGTCCCTCAGGTAGATATGCATACATGTATCTCCCTCTGGATAAACCCCATATCCAAAACCTCCCAGTTCATAACCCTTATTTATCAAAAATGCGCAAAATAATGCAGTGATGACGTCACAATTAATATGCACATGAGCCAATTTGCATAAATGTTATTTTCAATTTTCTTTAATTTGATACCAATTTCATTAAAATCGGAGCAATATTAGTAAAGTTATGCATTAAAACAATTATCTGCTTATTAACACCATATTTTTGTGGCTACCATGGAAACGGGCGTTTTAGACACATTCGGCCCACATTTCGTAATTGCTAACAAGTGGACCTCAAATCTAGGCACCACAAGCTTTCCAACGGTACCAAATTTAAGAATATGTTGCAACTGTACATTAAACTTTTTTTGGACCTCCAATTCCGCCCGCCTACTGGGAAAACAGTAGTATTATGGAATAAAAGAGTTATATTTCTCACATCAAAATCTTGGTTCAGGTCTATATTCAATAACATTCATGAGTACTTGTCATGAGATCTCGAATAGCATTCGGATATCTAATTATTCGAATAAGAATTAATATAACATCTGGACAATGTATTACGTGGTATTTCATATGTATCTTTCCGAAGAAAGGCAATGTAAAATCAGTGTCTAAATAATAAATAGTTCTCGTATTGGATTTGTTGGAATGTTAGGCTTTGTGACATCTAGAAATGTAATCTAAATTAATCACAACACTTTAATATTGACACGCTACCTTTAATTTCCCATGGCACAGGACTGATTCATCTCGTTTAGTTAAGAACATCTGTAATTTGTACTGTAAATACAGTATAGGGTAGGTATAGACTGTAAATCTTGGAAACACCGTGGGGAGAGTGTCTGTAAACGCAACAGACTGTTAATGTTCATTTTTCTGAAATCAATCATTTTTCAATCATATCTAGTCAAAATGTTGAAAAAACGATTTGCAATTCCTTTGTATGATTTAAAGGATCATGTAGGAAAGTCTGTTTGTTTCATCATATTTAGTTTCTAAACAATATTGAAGTATCGCATTGTCAAAGGGTTAGAAAATGGTACACATCTATCATCTGATACAACCTTGGATGGTTTGATAAATCTCTATGAAGTCTCAAACTCAGGGATCCGACTGTTAATCATTTAAGACCAACATTTTGTATTATTTATTGGCATGTTTGAATTCTGAGTGTAATTTTCTATTAAAACAACTGATTTTCACAAATGTTTACTTTAATTCAAATTGAGTTTTACATAAATATAAATCATCAAAGCCCATGCTTTAAGCCAGCTTTCTCTATGCTATCAATAGCTAGTATTCTGGCCCTGCCAATATCATCTATTTATGCTCAGATAGAATTTCGTGAATTCAGCTTCTGGTTATCGGCTGACGTAACGCCCAATAATTCTTTGAGTAGCATGGAAAAATCCCTTGACATCTTCAGCTGACTACATCTGCCAAATGTTTTAGGTGTTCCAAGGCGGGCTTTAATTTAAACCTTTCATTCGCGCTATGAAATCAATTGTTATTAATAGTGAAACGATGTTACTGCGATTTCACATTTTATGATTACATTTTCGCTTATTTTCAAAAACGTTTTACTGTTAAAATGGTGGGAATCTGAGTGAAAAGGATAAATTTTCAAATGATTGTTGCAAGGGAAGCGATGTAAGATCTGAATAAAGTTAAGAAAAATAACCATCAATATTCATTGCTATTTATTTCATTTGTGACAGATGCTCTTTGTACTTTGTGTTTGAAAATGTGATTCAATCCAATGTCAATAATACTAAAGGGACAAAATACCAAGCATTCAAAATTGAATTTTCTACATCTCTGTCTCCATCTGGTTACAAAAACGTTACGTCTTTATAACAAAATGGATTTTCACCAAGAAGGAGGTCGAAATATATCTAAATATTTTACCCGTATGTTAATATTAACATCCGACAGAAGTTCATCCATTTTGTTATAAAGACGTAACGTTTTTATAACCAGGTGAGGACAGGTGTACATTAAGACTTCACCATCATATATAGATGGTGCTAGAGAAAAGGGATCCATATATTGCAGCAGAACATGAAATGCACTTTTGCGACATCTATTTCCATGATGTGTATTTGATGACAATCTCCATTTCAGTGTGTATCTTCTGTATACCTTTGACTGCTGGCAACATTGTCTACAACATGTGGATCTACGGGGAGGTGCTTTGTAAACTGTCAGCATACCTTCAAGGTAAGATGATTAACCTTTTTACTCAACAAAAATGAAAAATTAATATTCCATACAGCGCGGTCCACGTTACCCTTTGTATTCGTTTGACTTCACTTCTTAAAAGGGTGCTTCGTCTTAGTTTAACTAGACTCTGCACGCAGGGTAGGTCCACGTGGAAATTCGTTAACCACATTGCCGAATCCCATCATCGATTGTTCACATTCATTCCAGGTGTATCCGTGGCAGCAAGTACATTGACCATTATGGCCCAAAGTGCTGATCGCTACATAGCTATTCGACACCCTGTCAAGGCGAGACGTTTTGCAACTATGCGTAATGCAAGAATATTGATAATCTGCATATGGACATTGGCCTGTGGTCTCATGATCCCATTGATTATAATCCGAAAACTGCACTCGTTTGACCTTGGTCCTTATTCCGCAGAGTTGACAGTCTGTAAAGAAGCTTGGCAAAGCTCGTTTGATAATAAACTGTACGACTCATTCCTTCTTGCTTTTATCTATCTCATCCCTGGATCCGTGGTGATCATCCTTTATTCTATGACAGGCTGTCGGCTACTGATGAGCGATACATTCCTGCAGAGGAACAACTCCGGTGTATCAAGAAGGAATAACCTCATGGCAGGTCGAAGGAAGGTAGCCCGGATGTTACTCATTATAGCTATATTATTTGCTGTCTCTTGGCTTCCATACTACATTGTTAACCTGTCCATGCTATACGATGACAAATACCAAACAGGGGGCTACCTGGAAGCCTTACCATTCGCCCTATTATTGGGGCACTCGAACAGTGCCCAGAACCCTCTACTATGTAGCTTTATGAACACTCACTTCAAAGAGAGGATTAAGGGCATGCTAAAAGGGAGGTGTCACCAACAAGATGTCAATAGGCAGGTAATAATGTTTTACTATGATTATCTCATTGCTACCACACTGTGATAATTTTTCAAATTCTTGACCAATATTGCTTTGTAATGCTAAAGTGTTCGTCCCATTAAACTTGGAAACTTACTAATTAAACTTACAAAAGAGATTTTTTCATTTCAGAATAGTACATACATGCAATACAGCGAAAGAGTGGGTTCAGAGAGGGTGGAACTGTCCTTCAAAAGAATTTTTAGACAGTCAACCCACAGTAATGGCACGCGTACAAGTTCTTTGAAAGAATTACCAGGGGCTGAAAAGTTCTCTCTCAACGGATCCATTCACTCTAGAATATCTTCCCACAAAGCCCCTGCGTATATCCACAAACATTCTAACCAACCGAGTGATAAAAATGTAAAAAACGCGAACGATGTTAGTTTTGTTGTGGCTAAAACGATCGTGGACGTCTCGAGGGAGTCATCGAGTAAAGATGAGAATAGACAATTAGATGACACTACTGAAATAACTAATAAATGAGCGAGAGAGAATAAATCTGCTTGTATCACCAAGTTATGAGAAGTGTGAGTGAAATATTAGAAGAGATGTATACGTACTTTGTAAAGTTACTTTTGTCACCAAGTTAAGAGTGATATTTGCAAACCTTTTTGAGAAGAGTGTTTTAAATTACCTTAGTCATTAAGGTAATATTGGGTTGCGCCCCTGTAGGCTGTTTGAGTAATCACGATGAGATAAGAAACATGTATAACGACCAATTTGAATTGAAACTCATCACATTTTCTGTTTCAACAGAAGCAGGGTAAGGAGAAACGAGATCTCATGGTTTATCATGATGTGAAACTACCTACTCACAAAATAAAGACAAAATTATGAAAACTGCCCAAATCACACAGTAAAGACACAAGCTTGAAATTCTATAACACTTTAAGAAACTACCTAAAGCTTTGTCCTTGCATGGAACTTCTCAACGACTCACATAGTATAGAAATGAGTGTTACAGTTGAAAGGAGTGTAAGAACATTATATATTCGAACTACCAGAGTTCTGGAGCTATGAGTTAGGAAGGTATACTACACCGGCGTTTAACGTAACCCGGATATACTACTCCCTAACGTTAAGATCGTGATACATGTATATCTATGGGGTTTTGTAAATTCATTAGATCATTTATTTGATATATTTGTCAACCACAAATGGTGTGAGTGGAATTTTATGCATATTTTAGATTGGTAAAATGTAATATTAGAAAGATTTGTTAAAAGATTTCAGTCGATTTGTATCATGATCTTAATGTTACGGAGCTAGTATATACGGGTTACGTTAAACTTGGCATTGAAAATAAGCAAGTTTTACTGTAAATATTATGCAAGGCCAATGATGTTCTCAGGGTATTAAATGTAAAGGAGGTTAAAACTGTATAGACAAAATTCATTTCGTATGTTTGTCTGTTCGTCAGCTCATACTCATCCCGAAAAAAGTCAAGGATAGCCTACATTCACATTAGCAAATGTTTTTACTAATTACACAAATCACAATATTGAGATGATCAAAACAAAAAGTGAACTATATTCATTCAATTTATCTTTAGAACAGGTTTCATTATTAACATTACAGAATTGTTCATGTATGATATCGGCATGCTATGTAAAGACTAGTCAAAAATATGTGGTAGATTGGTATGTGTGAAAATATTCCAAAAAAACTCAGAAATAAAAAAATATTCAAAAAGTTCGAATGAAAGATTCTAATATTTTGATGAGTTTCTAACTATTGAAGACACATACACACATGGTACATGCACATAAGACATAAACCTAAAAGATACATACACATATGATACATGCACATAAGACACAAACATAGAAGACACATACACACATGCACATAAACCTTGAAGATCCATGTGTAGATAAGACACACACGTAGTGTACACATATGATACATGCACATAAGACACAAACATAGAAGACACATACACATATGATTCATGCACATAATACACAAACTTAGAAGACACACACATATGATACATGCACATAAGACACAAAAATAGAAGACACATGCACATATGATACATGCACATAAGACATAAACCTAGAAGATACATACACATATGATACATGCACATAAGACACAAACATAGAAGACACATACACATATAATACATACACATAAGACACAAACATAGAAGACACATACACATATAATACATGCACATAAGACACAAACATAGAATACACATACACACATGACACATGCACATAAACCTTGAAGATACATACACATATGACATGTGTACATAAGACACACACGTAGTATACACATATAATACATGCACATAAGACACAAACATAGAAGACACATACACATATGATACATGCGCATAAGACACAAACATAGAAGACACATATGATATATGCACATAAGACACACACGTAGAATACACATATGATACATGCACATAATACACAAACTTAGAAGACACACACATATATGATACATGCATATGAGACACAAACATAGAAGACACATATGATACATGCGCATAAAACACAAACATAGAAGACACATATGATATATGCACATAAGACACACACGTAGAATACACATATGATATATGCACATAAGACACACACGTAGAATACACATATGATACATGCACATAAGACACAAACATAGAAGACACATACACATATGATACATGCAGATGATACACAAACTTAGAAGACACACACACATATGATACATGCACATAAGACACAAACATAGAAGACACATACACATATGATACATGCACATAAGACATAAACCTAGAAGATACATACACATATGATACATGCACATAAGACACAAACATAGAAGACACATACACATATAATACATGCACATAAGACACAAACATAGAAGACACATACACATATAATACATGCACATAAGACACAAACATAGAAGATACATACACATATGACATGTGTACATAAGACACACACGTAGTATACACATATGATACATGCGCATAAGACACAAACATAGAAGACACATATGATATATGCACATAAGACACACACGTAGAATACACATATGATACATGCACATAAGACACAAACATAGAAGACACATACACATATGATACATGCACATAATACACAAACTTAGAAGACACACACATATATGATACATGCATATAAGACACAAACATAGAAGACACATACACATATGATACATGCGCATAAGACACAAACATAGAAGACACATATGATATATGCACATAAGACACACACGTAGAATACACATATGATACATACACATAAGACACAAACATAGAAGACACATACACATATGATACATGCAGATGATACACAAACTTAGAAGACACACACACATATGATACATGCACACAAGACACAAACATAGAAGACACATACACATATGATACATGCACATAAGACATAAAGCTAGAAGATACATACACATATGCCATATGTACATAAGGCACACACGTAGAATACACATATGATACATGCACATAAGACACAAACTTAGAAGACAAAACGTATATGACAATTACACATGAGACAAAAACAAAAATGACACACGTACATTGGGTCCAAACGCCGAAGACACAGACATAGAATAGATCAAATGTGACATTTTGTAGACCTTCATGACTATCTAAAAATTATAGATTAAAGTATTCTGCATGTTGATATGAATTAAGTCCGACATCAAATATGACATAAGTCACAAAAAATGACATAAGTAGGCCTTCATGACTATCTACAAATTATAGATTAAAGTATTTTGGATGTTAATATAAGTTAAGTACGACATCAAATATGACATAAGTAGACCTTCATGACTATCTAAAAAATATAAATTAAAGTATTCCGCATGTTGATATGAATTAAGTTCGATATCAAACATGTAGACCTTCATGACTATCTAAAAATATAAATTAAAGTAGTCCGCATGTTGATATGAATTAAGTCCTACATTTCATTCCATATGTTCCATGGAGGATAATCATATACATTTTCTAAAGCACTTCTAAAATTGCATTCTTGCACGAGGAAAACAGATATTCAATATATCTAGTTACCTATGTTTTAGAATGGCTAATTGAGCTCATGATCAGTAATGACATCTATTTAATTTAGCTTATTTTGAAATGGTTCATCTATATGCCACGGGATTTACATTACGATTCATAAATAAATAAAAATACAAGCTACACGCTTGTTACGCCACCAGTTGTTGTGGACATATGCTTCTATAAAGTAGGAGGGTGCTCTACAAGCAAACAGATCTATTTTCGAATGACAATTGTTGGACTACTGACAGTAGTGATGCGAGGGTGATCCATTGACAAATAAATATACTATTACTAATTTGATGGCGTTAATGAAAGAGATGAAGCAAACATGCAAGTGTATATACGTAATTCTAGAGGACAATACTTTATTAATCAACTAGACGCCTTCAACGTATATGAGCTACAGTGACCTATTCTTGTAGTTTTGTATTTCTAAGACGCCTGCTGATGACGTAAATGAGGACCCCTTTTACACGACTCCTTCCCCCCTTCCATCTATCAACGTGAATCCATTTTATAGAGTAGTAATGCATCACAGATGTTTATACAAAAAATTTGAATCAGGAATTGCAATTTGCAATTTACGATTACCTATTATTTATTCTAACTTGAAGACATATAGTTAATATTCCAGAAAGCTTTCGGTTGAACGAACTCTAGACCGAGCAATAAATCTAGAAAATTGTTTTTTGTACACATTACAATTACGTTATTTGAAGCTTCTGGGATAAAAACATGTATGGAAATTACTCTTGATATCTAACAACCGCAGGATCACCTAGTATCAATTTTCTAGAGTTAGAATAGCAAAATTATTTGAACAAACAACCGTTCAGCATGTTCTCGTTAAACCCATTCTTCAATAACTATACATTCAAAATGACAAAATATAAACTTTTGGTTTAATTCCAAAGCCACCAAAATTTTTCTTTTGTTTTTTTGTTCATGAAAAGGTGGTCGTTTGCTATTTTCGGAAAAATGGCCGTTCCATTCTCAAGGGTTTGCTACAAGTTTTTTTGCGTAATCGGGCTTGCGCATTGTTGGTGAACCAGGAACGACACATTCTATATTTGAGATCGTTAATCATAAAAAAAACATTTATATAATGTTAAGTTTTTCCAGGGAATTGTATAGTATTACCGGAGAAAATCGTCGTATTAAATTAGTTAGTAAGATGTTTGCAATTAAAGGTATTTTATTCATTCAAAATGGAGTTCGTCTTGATGACTTTTAGTTTGAGAACTCTATACAATCTGGCGGTCATATGACATATCATATTGTCCTTGGATATAACCGATACCTCTCCAATCCCTCTCAAAATAAATGATCATGATATTAGTATGTCACGTGAATACTGATATACTTGTTGCCAATACATATATCAATATCAATATTGCCACTTGTCCGAATGAATATCTGAAAAATCATTTGATGAATTGAGCCTTCTTACGACCACGTTTATTTGGGACTTGGAGATATCATAAGCCAGCTGCATAATATATAAGCACCGTATATTAAATAAAGTCATTGCACTCTAGAATTCAAAAATTGCTTATCACCTTATTAGATCACTTATCAACATAACGTGATAATGAGTCATTTTCGACTTTTTGCAGTTGTTTGTTGAGTTTTCTACATGGATACGAATGTTGCACTGCGGCATAATTCACTTCTAGAGGCAAGAATTTGTTCACCTAACTGTGCTGCTAATACAGTCTCAGATGTTTCCGAATGCTAATTGATGCCTGCTGCTATAAATTGGAACGTCGCAATACTGTAATTTGAAATCAAATACAGCCAATTTCTAATTTCTTCGAATCAATTCCCGACCGAAACAATGCCAGATGTACATTGTAATGCTATACGTATACGAGGCCCAGGATAAGGTTGGCGAATAGAACAAATCGATTAAACTACATTTCAAAATCAACATTACTTTGGGCAAGAACTTGGTACTTGGTGGGAGATTCAAAGAATTGACTAATGGCGCTGGTAGAGGAGGCAGAGAATGCGCCGTTGAGTCATTCCTTCAGGCTTGTCATATTGGGCTCGCCGAAGACAGGTAAAACCAGCATCGTTTCAAGATTCTTAGACAATAAATTCACAGATGTTTATACACCTACCATTGAGGATTTTCACAGAAAGGTTTATCGTATACGCGGGGAGGCGTATCGACTTGATATCCTGGACACATCTGGGAATCATCCTTATCCAGCTATGCGTCGTCTTTCTCTCCTCACAGGTAAGCAATTCAATACATTTGGAATTCATTTTAGCTCATACTGCTGGTGTTTTTAGTTTTCCAGCATTGGAATGCAGTTTTAATGTATTTATCTGATTTGTTAGATTTGTTGCATTTCTTGCATCTGTGCATCTCGGCCAAGCACTCAGAAGACCTCGAGCTCCAACAACACGAGGTGTCATAACATACACCAAAATGGGGAATGGAGTGGAGGAACTTTTTCAGATTTAGCATTGCGTGTACCTGTATAGGACTGAGACATGCATGGAACCTCAATCAATTGGACCTCATGAGACTAGCTTGTGGAACTACGTTGAATTTTACCTCATTTAAGACCACTTAGGCCCTTATTGAACTTTACCTCCTAAGACTACGTGGTACCCTTAGGATTCTACCTCAGAGACCATCTGAGATCTTACTTTCTCTCATGAGAGTAGTGTGACCTTGTTGACCTTTGCATCATGAGACATGTTGGACCTAAATTGGTCTTCACCTCTGGAGACAACCTGGGACCTTGTTGGACCTCGCATGGTCTTGCTCCATTTTGCAAAACAGACGTCAAGGTCACACTATATGGTTCACCAAAAAGTGCCCTTAGCTCATTTATATTAGATATTGCTGTCAAAATGAAACATTGACGAGCGTGAACCTCGATTCGATGATTTGGGAAAAATTGAAATTAAAACGCAGAATATATGTAGCGTTTATCTTTGTTATGAACGTGTACCTGTATACGATCGATCATGGACATGGACACACAAAGTACGTACATACACTTCAACCTAATTAATTATTTTATAACGACATATTGTAAACAAAAAACTTGCGGTTCTAATTAATTTGACTGGATTTGTTGATTTAGATAGTTCTAGATAACAAAATAACAAATTGGCGCCGTCAAGAATGTTAATGAATTGAAAAATGTATTGTTGAAAAATCAATATATAGCCCAAAATTAGGATACAAATTAAAGTGTTTCTGAAATTATATAACGTCGACTAAGTAAATTCCATGGGCGAGTTCATTTTAAAAGGGGCGCACATATTCACATTATGGGACACATTATGAAATTTGTTACAAATGTTTTGTCACAAATTGAGAACTAGGTCACTGATGGTATTTCCTTGGATACTGTAAGAAAAATAAGCTTCGCAATAGCAAAACTTCTTTCTCCGTACCACATGTAGGATTTTCATAAACAATCGTTGTTTTAAGGAAAACACGAATTGTTTCTAAAAGATTCATTGATATCCTGAAGAAAGTGCCAAAATATGTTTTTCGATCTGATCTTGAAAACGAACGTTGGTACTTGGTTTTTCGGGTAAGAAAGGTGGATAACGCGTAGAGTCTAGTTAAAAACGAAGCTCTCTTTTAAAAGGCGAAGTCGAACGAATGCAAAGGGTAAACATCAGTCGAAATAACGAAAAACTGTTGCAAATGGACATTTTACGGTTTTCTTAATAAATTATACCTTCTTCCAATATCCGTTCAATTTTCGTAAATACATTTTATCTTTCTAGAAAATGTTCTCATAATAATGTTCGCCTTATTGTATCCTCCTCGTTGGTTTTCGAGATATCATATTTGTTTCTTGTTCCTGGATATTTAATGGCTTCCAGGACTTTGAAGGGATTACGCCGAACATGAAAGCCAAGCCAATATCTACTTTATCAAACCTCTGTGAGATAAAATGAGACATTAAGGGATTTACTTGAGACATTATAACATGGGAAATACGGTGTTTAATCTGGGGCTAAGAGCATTTATGGTATAACCAATATGTCAACAATTTCTCTTTTGGTAGAGTACCATGACAACGAGTTTTTTCTCACTGAAAACGTATGCTAAATACTATATCTAGTGTTTTTTAGTATTCATATTGAAGAACACTTAGACTTTTTAATTGAATTAGATATATCCAATCTACAATCTATTTGAAATATCATATATTATCCTACACTTAGTGTACTAAATGTATAATAACATTAAAATTGAATAACCGGAGGATATTGCCACACTATACTCCGGAAAACCAATATGCGGAGGATATCGTGACGATATACTCAACTTATTGATACTCCGCCAAATTGAACTATTTGACATTTTTAATTTTCAATGATATTATACATTTACTACACTACTAGTAAGTGTAGGATAATAAGAGCATCCTATAATTTTTTAAGAATATCATTTTAATCTACTCGGTAATATTGATCTATGCACTCGTTCGCTTTGCTCTCTCGTGCAGATATCAATATCACCTCGTAGATAAAAATGATATTCCTCAAAATCACAGGATATCCTATATTTTAGTTCAAGATGGAATAAATAAGGGCCATGCGTCTCACTGTTACCAATAGGCAAGGTGCAAGTAGAAATAATCTTGATTTACTTCATTTAAAATTCAAATCATATTTAAAATTTATATGTAAAATTACATCTAGAAATGTCGTTCTCAAAAGTGTTTATCAACTTTGAAAATGTGACTTCTCGATCGGGGAGAAACCCCCATGTTATAAAAATCACAAAAAGTGAAATATCTTTTCTTGTATTGGACAGATAATATTTTCCTTTACTGGACATATTTTGATTTGTATAAGTATCAGATATATTGAGGGAAATATGAAAACTGAATTATTAAAACAGATGAATAATCAACTTTCTAATACCATGCCATTTTATCTGCTCCACCTGGTGGTGAAACTAGTTATTACATGCTCGCATCTATAAACATAGATACATTTATTTCTCGGTCCCAATAGTTAAAGCCCCCATATAAAGTTTAAACCACTTTGGCTTATATTATAGTCTTTACCTAATGTTATATATCCAAGTGTGATATGTTAATTTTTTTAATTTCAAATATTCAAATTTCAAATAATTTCAAAATGCATTTGAAGGACTAAAAATCTCTAAAATAACTTTTAAAGTAATAGTAAATGAATGATAAAAACATATTTTCAAACTTTACAAGGGAACATTAAGAATCTTATAACATTTCTAATTCATGATGAAATACTATCAGCCTACTTTAAATGTACATTGCTTCACCTTGCTCCACCAAGCTTTGGAACTGTCTACTCAGGAGGACCATGGTTATGAAGAGCTTGCAAATACCTGAGAAATCGGAGTAATTGAGGATGGGTTGGGCGATTCGTCAATGATTCATTATTAGGTAAACGGATTCAAGAAGACAACTTGGGCAGCCATTTTTCCCCTTTTTTCGTTTATATGGTATTACTTTGAACTGAAATAGAGCATCTCGTACATTCTTCACATTTCCTAAAGCAATTTCGGGTTTCTCAATTTGTTTGCCATAATATCGTTCACTCCTAGAATATTATACGCTATGTCAGAGTTAGTTAATTAAACATCATATCTCTTAGACGCATTTTCCTTTACGAGATCTTTGCTCGCGAGGTTATGTGCAATAAACGAACTGACGAGGATATTAATTGTTGCTCTTAGGGTTATTTATTGTTTCATTTTGAGAATTCAAACCCAGGAGGATTAGGGACATCCTACTTATAAGTCATCATTCTATGTATAAGTTAGACTCCGGGGGATTATAATTGGCTTGTTTGTCAAGATTATGAAGTCTCATTTCACAATACATGTGATTAACACTTAAAGCACAAGAAACAAGCCAATGTACTGGAAAAAATAATGGAAATTAATGAATTAAATCCATTGAATTTCATAGACAATATCTCTAATAAATAGATCATCTCGAATACTTGTAGTATCTTTCAAATAATGCCGCAAGTAGAAAAGCTTTTCAATAGGTGTTAAGTTACATTAAGTATAATATTTGTTATTAATCTTTTCAAAAGCTAACATTTGAATGGTTAAAACTTATTCCCGCTCAGTAAAGTTTGAAAATTACTTGTCAATCGAATACAATATGCGCCTTTACTTTTTAAATATTTCAACTCACCGCTGTTATCAGGGGTTATAGAATTGACAAAAAAATATGAAAAAAACAAAACAAGCCATACATTTTACACGGGACCTTTAAAAAATATATGGAGTTTTTAGGTATCATTTGAAAATGTGCTGTCTCTAACATAAGAATCTTAACTGAGACAGCCAGATAAACATTTTATATACTAATTTTAGAACTATCACATCATCTTATAAAATGTCTAATAGTTGGTGGCAGAGTCTATTGAGGCCAATAAGTATTTGTCACGAATCACTATGAGTTAACAACAAAGCTTGTAGATAGAAGCTCATCTTCATCAATACGTAGGCTACTTCATCATTTAATAATCAACTAGAAGATAGGAAACAAGAAGATGACAACGGAACCCTTGTGTCTAATGAAAACTCATATAATGTAACAGTGAATTCTTCTATTAAGTAAATGGCTTCTAAGATTTTCTTGGGTAGAATAGGCTATCCTTTTAAAAAGATTGGAGATAAATAAATATAGGTATGAAATAAAGGAATAAAGCAGAGACATTATGACATATATTATTTATATTTGATACATACGATTTGATAATTTTGTGATGGTTATCACAGAACACAACGCCCGACTGTGAATGAATCAGCCAGAATGCATCACGTCTTGAGTTTAAATTATTTCCACACATTCCCAAATATTTTATACGAAATCACCTAAAAGATACGTTTTCACTAAAAAACACAGTTTCAATATTATTGCAAGGGTGGGTCAAGTTGGCAAAGTATTAATTTCAATCTAGAGAGTCGAGTTGTTACCTTGACAACCATTCAACAAATGACCTTGAGTGGGTTCTTGGTTATATATGCAGTTCAGTTATGCGAAATACTGTGCTCGGATTGGTTGGAGTCGGACACACCTTGCCTAGCTATGTGTGAATTTCAAATTTTGACAACTGTTCTTCTCATTGGGATCATTTTCTTTCGGGCTGCACTCCTAATACTGTTTGCAATCACTCGCTCCATGGGCTAGATGTACGTTTTTACGAGTATACAGTTAAAGTATTATTTGATCGGATTTCTGTTCCCATTTCACCGAAATATTTTTTCTCTGTGCATACTTAGCGTGGATTAAGTCACAGCGTTCATCTCACGATAAAGTACGTACACCTTCTCCAAATTACTAATCGACCCCTGAGTTGAGACTCTATGGCATAGTGCATAGTCTACTTCTATTATAATCTGATAAATGGTTTCCCAATGAATTGCTTAATCAATCAGGTCTGAAAGCTACACGATAAAATATTTCTTGATGCGGAAATTAATTCAGCCATGCTCGTCGGGTCCTTTGTTAGATAACATAATTCAGAGGTTAATTCAGAGGTATATTGATGCATTTGTGGAAAATACATTTTAAGTGACATTTCATTATAACGTTACATTTGTTGAGTTGTTTTTGAAAGCACAATCCATGCCACATTTCGAAATGCACTTCAAAATTACTATTTGCCTGTCAAAATGATATAGAAAAACATTTGTTACCGCACCCTACTCGTCCATTTGTCATTTTCTGACCATATTCATGAATGTTTAAAAGTACGATGTTTTATTGTGCAATCACTATCGTTAGGGGTTTATGAAGTGATTTAGCTGGGTTGCCAAAAAATCAACTCTGGGGAAAAAATTAACCACAACAACGGCAACGCCAAAGCGTAGCGAATCCCATCGAACAGAAATGGCTGTCATTTTTACAAACGAAATCGCACACACGTACATGTAAATGGTGGCCATTTTTGCAATCCTTACGAGTATTTAGTATTCACATATCAAATATGAACAAAATCGCTCTATTACTTTTTGAGTTATAATAAAAAAATGTAAAATAACACACATAAAAATGGTGGCCATTTTCAAAATGGCCGACTACTCCCCAAAGTTTGAATAGACAATGTGCCATGCTTAAAGTATTCACATATCAAACATGAACAAAATCGCTCCACTACTTTTCGAGTTATGGTAAAAAAATGTAAAAATGACAGCCATTTTTTAAAATGACCGCCAACTACGCGAAGTGTCATAAGACAGTGTGCAAGGCTCATGAGTATTATCAAATATGAACAAAATCGCTCCACTACTTTTCAAGTTATAGTAAAAAACGTAAAAATGGTGGCCATTTTTCAAAATGGCCAACTACTTCCAAAAGTGTCATTAGACAGTGTGTCAATTGCTTATAGTATTCACATATAAAATATGAACAAAATCGCTCTACTACTTTTTAAGTTATTGTAAAAAATGTAAAATAGCACACGTAAAAATGGCGGCCATTTTTCAAAATGGCTGCCTGCTACCCAAAATGTCAATAGACATTGTGCCATGCTTAAAGTATTCACTTACCAAATATGAACAAAATCGCTCAACTACTTTTTGAGTTACAGTAAAAAATGTTAAATAACACATTGTAAAAATGGTGGCCATTTTTCAAAATGGCCGCCTACTATCTAAAATGTCATTAGACATTGTGCCATGCTTAAAATATTCACATACCAAATATGAACAAAATCACTCCACTACTTTTTGAGACACAGTAAAAAATGTTAAACACACATAAAAATGGCCGCATACTACCCAAAATGTTATTAGACTTTGTGCCATGCTTAAAGTATTCACATACCAAATGAACAAAATCGCTCCACTACTTTTCAAGTTATATCAAAAATCGTAAAATGCATTGTGACACACTTGATGGTATCCAGAAAAAAATGGTTGCAAATTATTGAATGAAAAAGTTAATTTTTGTTGCTACCCATTTTTTGAATTGAGAAAGTTGACTATCAAATTATTTTGAATTAGATAAATTCAAAAATTATTTTCGTATTTTTTCAGGAGACCTCTTTCTGCTTACATACAGCATCGACAATTTCGAATCATTTGAAGAAGTAAAATGTCTCCGAGAACAAATCCTAGAGACAAAGGGAATAACTCCGAACCAACGAGAAAAGCTTCTAGAGATCCCAATGGTTGTTATTGGAAACAAAGTCGACAAATCAGATTTACGTGTTGTGGATAGAAATCTCGTAAAGGACTATTGTGCTTCTCAGATAGGAGTCGCTCACATCGAAGGCTCGGCAAAGAAAGATATTAACATCGAAGCAGTGTTTTTAAAACTGTTTATGATGGCGCATCTACCGACAGAAATGAGTCCTTCTTTACATAGAAAGGTCACTCCTAATTACGTCGGCAGCTCCAGCCCCAAGGGTCTTAGGGCTGTTGGACTTCGGCGAAAACTAAGCGATGCATGCGGTGCAATCACACCCCATGTGAGAAGACCAAGCATACGCACTGATCTCATGATTATACAAGCCAAACAAAGTAGTACAGATAAAGATGATGTAAAACGAAAAGAAAGTAAATGTTGTTTAATGTAAAATTAATGTCCTTTGCAAAATAAAAAGTAGGAAAATCCATGGATTATCCAAGTTAATTCTATTGATGAAATGTACTTAGAAATTAGCAGGCTAAACATTCAAAAAGCCCGCGCCTGCTCACTTTCATAACTTTTGATTGTAAGATTCTTGTAATAACATCGATCATGCTGCGGATAAATGCCATTTCAGATTCGTTCAATGTCTTGTATATAGTTATTACAAAAATCAATTACAATATTGTTATTTAAATAGGCCTAAGAAATAAAAACTAATGTTTTGACTTTATTAACTTTCAAATTATGAACTGTACATTTCCCAATTTAAATTTAAAAAAAACATTTGTGTCCGGAGTGGGAAAGTTAGATATCTTTATAGGGGAGTTAACCTCAAGAAAAAAGCAAGATTTATCAGTTATCAAAAACATGTCCTGGGTATGAAAGATGATAATCAAATGCATTGGCAGATATGTTTGAATTAATGGTGCGCTACTGAATCTTCATCTGGTTTACGGAACCGTCGCCATAACCTGGACTTAGTGGCTTTGAATATTCATAAGTCGCGTCACGTCGACTCTACAAATTTCAGCATTTTGATTGGCTCAAAGAATGAGCATGCGCTAACGTTGGGCGGCCACATTCAAGCTACTAACAATAAACACGAAAATAAACCGAATTGCATTCTACGTAGTTCAGACTTTTAATAACCTTAATTTTGATGTCGTCGTATCATTGCAGACCTAAGGACAAGAGAGACCAAAAGTAGGAGATTCAAGTGGTGTTATTAAAAATCGAAGTCCATACTGTTAATAAGAGTGACTATTTGAAACCTGTTTAATAACCGAAAATATAAAACCTTTCTAATATGAATACCCCTCAGTCCCATTTTAAATCTGACATAGAGTAGCATTGTTGAATTAATACTTTAAAATGTAAACACTTACGAATCAGAATATTTCTTCCCAATCTGAATACTTCTTCGGATAAACCATTTGTATTGTCTTTTTTATTAAAGGCAGGCTTTTAACTTTTAAGATGAATAATAATAACAATAAAATTCATAAGTTTTACAACGCGTTGAATGACGAGTGAAGGACATTAAGATTCACGATCAGATGATATTTACAACAAACAAATCATTATCATATATCATTGTATAAAGTACTTCTCAATGTTTTATATAGTATATACATAGACCTCGTTGTTTAATCAACTGTTAAGCAATAACCGCTCACATTAACAATAAAAAATGAAATTGGTTGGTACAACTTAAACAATGATGTACAGACGTGGCTGCTGTTTGAACTATAAAACAGGTACATGGATATAAGACATCAACGTGGTATACTATAAAACCAAAATTTGTGAGCCGTCTAAACCATCGCAAAATTGGATTTAAGGTGAGCAACATAAGGTATAGGTATAGTTTTAATAAGCAATGGGGTCTACAACGCGTGTTGATCGGCCGATTATTAAGGCAATATGGAATTGAAACTTACATTTTGCGTTACAGTTGTACATGTGATGATGCAATGCTGTATATTAAAATTATATTTGATGAACTAAATCTAGAGAATACCAAATACAGGGTGTTGATGATTATCGTCTCTCCATCCACAGCCAGTCCTTGATCACATAGCTCAATAATGCATATATCACGATAAAGGTTATCCTGGAATTATAGGGCAGATATTTGCTTGATTGATCATTGGGAACGCAATTTGTGAATTGATGTTTCGTAGTCACCATAACCCCAATTTTATTTAACTGATGAATATTACCTAATATGTTTAAAGAGGAGGTCTCTTTGGTAGACATATTAAAAAAATGTTCCGAATATTAAGATCATTGAGATATATCCTGAGCATCCCTCAAATGTAATGAATTGTATACCATCAAGATAAAAACTCTTTTATTATATTGGTTTAAGGTTTTAATATAGTTTCCGAACAGGGTGCCATTTTTCAGAAAAATCGGCTCTCATTTATTGTGTTAAAGATCAAATGATCACCTTTTGTAGAGATATCTAACAAGTCCAGAATTGAACATATATACACTCTTCTCCAAAAGTTTGGCAACCTTTGTTCATTGAACTTTCGTGTTAAAGCCTCTTTATAATATAAATGGAAATGCAACTTGACTTAATTTTTAAATATTCTTATTTTTTTCTCAATTACAATAGGTGATAATTGATGAACATTTTTTAAAAATCGTCAGTCCCATGTAAACCAATGGGAAATGGTGGGCTCGGGGCAAATCTGATTTCAGAATATCTATCGGTAAAAGATTTGAAGCAATCTTTTGATATAGAAAATTGAATTTTGATTTCAGAATATCTATCTATCTATTTTTGAAGACATATAACATTTTTGAACCTGCAGAAACGTAACAATTTTGTTAAATAAGGCTTGCATATTCGATTGACTACCTAATTTGTATTTTTGCCAGAAATGGATGAATATTCTATCATATGACTTGCGGCAAACATACCATTTCCCGTTGGTTTACGAAATGTCGATTTTCAAAAGTCCATCAGATTTGACATCCATTCCCGATCTATTGTAATTGCTTAAAAATTCAGAAAAATTTGAGGTATTGGAAATGATAATTTACATTTAGTTTTAAGTTTTTATCGTTACAGGTTATGCAAATAAAAATTCAAACAAAGAGGCTTTAATACGCAGTTCAATGAGGGAGCTAAGGTTGCCAACTTTTGGAGGGGAGTGTAACACGGGAGTATGTTATTTAAAGAATACCTATATCTTTCCCAAAACTACTCATTTTGATATCGGAGTGATTTTGTTTTGCAATATTTCGATTTATTCTTTAAATCTTTTTCAAGCAACTCAGTTGAGTTGAGTTGCTTGAAAAAGATTTAAAGAATAAATCGAAATATTGCAAAACAAAATCAATTTGTTATTTTAACATAAAAACAACTACTTTTTGATATCGGAGATTAATGAAATAATGAAGTCTTCCTAAAATACGTATACTTTTCTCAAAACTACTCATTTTGATGTCGAAGATTGATGAAATAATGAAAAATCGTCGACGGTTGACTGTCACATGCTGTGCACTAAAGCTGAACGAATTTTACCCTGTATACCCACGCGGTCCTAACTTAGACCGATAATTTGAATTTTTGACCTATCGAATGTTTGAAAATCAAGGATTACGAGTCTCATACTGCACCGTTTTTCTTCAAACGTGTTCCATTCAAAGCATAACAAAAATCCCTTTCTGATGGTACATTAATCTCTTTAACAGAGTCCCTACTTCCAGCGGCATTTTGGTCCCCAGCTGTAAGAAGGCCTTCTAACAGCTGGGGACCAAAACGCTGCTAGAACGAGGGACTCTTTACAATAAAATAATGCACCGACAGAAAGGCAATTTTGTTTTGCTTTTAATGGTATAAGTTTGAAGAAAAACGGTGCAGTATGAGACTCGCAATCCTTGATTTTCAAGCATCTGGTAGGTCAAAAGTTCCAATTTTTCTTTTTTATCTATTTTTTATTTATTAAAATCAATGTAACATCTTTACAGGTTTTAGTGGCTATGACCCCCAAGAGGGAGTATTAGGTGCCACATAATGGTATTTACAATGATTTGCTAAATATTATAAAAAGTATACATGTTATTTTGTTAAGTATGATCTTGTACATAATTGAGAAAATAAACTGATTTAATGAAAATGATTAGAGGTCTCTTCTACAATAACAGGTGCAACAATAAAATGTGTAGAGTAAGAGAAAATATAATATGAAAATTACATTATTAAATATTATGACATGATAACATCTGATGAGATTGTGCAGTAGTTCAAGGAACTACACCTCCAAGTATAGATTGCAGTAATAATCTTTAAATGACTTTTTGAGAATAGGGATGCTTTTTGATGTTTTGATATCAGAGGTTTCATTCAATATAAGGCCAATTAACGGTCGAAGTTAGTACCGCGTGATACCCTATTCACTCTTTTAATAGTTGAATAGTAAATACAAAAGAAATCAAACTTTAAACTATTTTCCCAAAATTGGATTATGGACCACTTTCCTTTGTTAAGAGTCAGTGTCCAGTGTGTGGTTTGAGTTCAAATGTGTGACATTCTCATGAATCGTCGTCTGTACGTAAGCATATCATACTTATGTGTGAGCGCAGCAAATAAGTGAAGGTGTTGAAATCCGTGAGCGGATTTAAATTGTTATTGTTGAAAAACCATTGGATTTTCCGTTTATCCCAAGGGAAATCATTAACAGCGAAAAAATGTTGAAAAACAAAAGTAAAAATTTTGAAAACAAAAAAAAGTTAAAGGCAGAATCTGATCTATAGGGGCGACAAAATTACAAGCAACGTGTATAATTGACCTACTAATCTATTCCTTACAATATCAAATACAATATATCCCAAAAAATTCACAATATGTTACAAATTGGTGAAGTTATAATGGATTCAAAGTGCAAAAATGGGTGAAAAATGTTTAAATTCTCCCAAATAATAAGAATGGTAACCATTCATTATTGTATTTAAAATTAAAGCTTTAGTTTTCCTATGGAATAAAGTATGCACTTTTTAATTTGATTTTTAGAAAATAGACATGAGAAGCAATGAGATGAGCCAAATATATTCTATAATTGAAACATTTTTTTGTTTAGCCTGCTCACTAGATCTGATTCTCTCTTTAAAAAAGGTTTTTAGAAGTGATATTAGATGGTTTGTTTTTTGCTAAAATATGATAAATTGATCAACATATCAAATGTATCTTCACGTGATATTCGATCGTATATCCCTGCAACCATGGGATAAATGATTTATATACGCATCCTTGTTGGAGCGGGACATGTTATATTCACCTGAATATGGAATATATTTCCGGTTAAAATGTTCCTGAAATCTCATCATGTACGGCAAACATAAACCTTCTTATTTATCAAGGTGCATCCAGTAATCAATTATCAGTAATGTCCCAATTTATAAATTAGTTATAGATTAATAACTAACTGATTATAATAATACTGGCCTACTGTATGGTGACATTTATAGAACAAATATGACAGGCCATAATTATTGCGAATGTGTTTCATGATGTAGATGGCTTGTGTAGCTGTCACACTGCTGCTGTTGGTGACGATAAACAACGTTAAATATGCGGAAATGCAACCTCCGGAAATGTACAAATGTCATTATGAGAGCAATATGCAACCGGTGTCGTTGTAAGTATAGTCTAAACTATGGATATGGATAAAGACCAGGGGAGGGGGTGGGGGGGGGGGTGAAGATTTCCCAAAGATGACCTTTCATACTGGCACGTTCGAAAACAAATTTTATTAATAGGCCTCATTTGCTATTGAAATGGATCTCCAAATGTTCGCTGTAGTTTTATGAGTATTCTCTACAAGTATGGATCGAGTAACTTCAATAGTATTACCCTAGGTTTGAAATGATGATGTTGAACTGATGTTAACGCCATTCCCACGGTTTCAAATTTAACTTTGCGCATGAGCAGCACTGAGAGAGCACGTGCTCATGATTGTTCACGTGATCACATCCTGCAATTTGATTGGAGATGATGCGGGAGATGGCGTAATGGGGAATTCCCGAATACGATAGAATATCAAATGAATTGTGGGAGCTACTCACTTCGTCTGGATAGTATCCTAAGTGACATCTATACCTATTCAGGTGAATGAGCTAATCAGTATCTTGAGTGATTTTGACCAGAGCACACGTGTTTTGCCAAACTAATGTTACAATGTTGTTGAACAATTTACAAGTAACACTGCATTACATTGTTTGCACTAACACTTTGGAAGGAAGGGTGGGTCCAGGCCTCCTAGACTTCCAACAACGCGAACATTTTCGATCAGATGCGTGGTTCGCGGTTACGGATCTCTGTGCGAGGTACAAGAAATATGTTCGGAAACAAGGAAATGGTGGTGCGCGACATAAGATTTCACGTTCGCGATATGAGATTCGTGGTTCGAGTGCAAGGAACGTAGTTCGCGGTATCAGAACTGATGTTCGCGTTGTTCTAGGAGGCCTGGGGTCGAAGTGGTTGAAATTTGACTTAGGATGGAGAGAATGTTATTTTGAAACTGCCATCCTAGGCACGGATGCATTTAGAGTGTTCAGACGAATGTTGGGTGAGCATTATTTTACTTTATCTAATAACCCTGTGCGACAGGGAGTCCTGTGCGACGGGACAGTCTGCGAGACTATAAATGACCATGTGCGACAAGGAGTCCTGTGCGACGGGACAGTCTGCGAGACTATAAATGACCCTGTGCGACAGGGAGTCCTGTGCGACAGGACAACGCCTGCGAGGCGATGATAAACGGTTACCTGTATTTTACAGGCGGGCAGGCGACCCAGGCGGGCGCTTTTATTTTTTCATAGGGGTGGTAGGATCAAAAACACATTCCAAAATTATTTTAATGCATGATTATCTTTGAGATTCTCTGTAACGGTGTAAGCGGTGTAACGGTGTAAAACAACATATCTGACACCCTCTGCAGGTCCTTGGGGTCGTGTGACATACGTGGTGGTTGGTACTTGGTGGTATATGTAGATATTGTAGCAGCAAATCTGTTCAAATAAAACGAGAGCGATAGCGATGTATGGGTCTGGTCTACTGCGCGCTGATTGGTCAACAGTGATCAGTGACGTCAGGGTCAAGTGAGGTCACCTGCTTGACCACTGAGAACATTACATTTAGAGAAAATCGGGACAAACTGAGCATGGCATAAGTAAACTGAACAATATTGCAAAATATTACACAGGATTTAAAAGGCCGAAACTGTTTGGAAAGTTCCTAAATTTAGTGTAATTAAAATCTTGACCGGAAGTTAAAAATCCAGTGTCCCTTGACCTGCCTGGAAGACGACTTGATTTCCTATTTTCAAGGACAATTTGGATACTTTTAATTCGGGTAGGCCTAATGCCCAAGTATGTTAGCTTTTTTTGTTATGACAACATAATCTCAAAGATAGTCCATAAATTAATTTTACCACCCCTATGAAAAAAATAAAAGCGCCCGCCATGGTCGCCTGCCCGCCTGGGTCGCCTGCCCGCCTGTAAAATACAGGTAACCCTTTATAGCAGTGTTTTCACCACTTGGACTCATTGTAGGTACTCTTCTCCTTGTTTTGTTTATGTGGAATATTAACAACTATTTTGATGAGGAAAATGAATTTAACTTGGAAGTTACTGATTGGGACAGACTTGAATTTAGTCCAAATCTCACATGTATGAATGGGGGAAGGGTACCTACAAGTGCAGTTCATAAAATTGAGTTATTTAATAGTTCATTGTATATTGGAAGTAGATGTCATGTTTATTTGGGAATAAGCCAGATTGGAAAGATGGTGACCCTTTCTGTTGTGAAACTAGAACACCTTTTTTAAAGATTGAATAGCCAATCCGATTTATGTCACAAGTTTTTCTCTGATTGGTTTTTCAATTGACTGGTACTTTATTATGGATGAATGAGTTTAGTAATAGTGAATGCAAGAAGAGTGCTTATGATGAACACACTACTATACCTAACACCTAGAAATGCATAAGATACTTTGTTTGTCTAATTGAATTGTTTAATATATTTTTGAAAGTGCCTTACTAGCATCTAATTTTCAACCGATAAACCATTCATAAGGAACAGACAAATAAAAACAAATACATAATCATTACTAATAAGCCAAATGGGTTGCTCATGAACACCTAATGCAAGGTATAGTAGTGTGGATGAATGGTCCTTGAACTGATTCAGATTAGTTATTACTTGGTATTACTTATGTAATATTCAGAAGTGCATTCACTACATCAGGCCATGGGATTCTTCTTTATGACATGTTTTAACGTAATTATTACCAAAATGAAATAATAGTGACACACAAAGATCATTGGAACGTGGTGGTTATATTCCTCAGCGCTGTTTTGGTTTTCAAAATTAAGGAGGTGGTGACACTGGGTTGTAGTCAACGTGTAACTAAACCCCTTACACGGAATTTTTCTTTTGGATTGCACCAGTGGAACCATTTTCTTCATTTTTACATGCACATTGAATTTTGCGATTTGGTACTTGTATTGCAAAGTTGGTTATGGCAGCAAAATTGATATCTGAAAGGACTTGGGCTTAGGGAATTTTAAGATCATACCTGATAAAAGTTAACAGCAGCTCTTGGTTATACATGTAAGCACGTGGAGATATTCTGGTTCCATTGGTGTATGGGTTGGTAAAGACAGTAAACAGTACTTTAGGAATATAAATAGTCAAATTTATGGGTGATAATTGAAAGACTCTTGTTTTGAGTTCTCTGTTCTGTTTTTTGGGTTTTATTTTGAGTATTGGGAGGGGGATTTGGGATTTTTGTAGTGATATGCTGATTCAATGGGTATGGAATGTATAACGAATGGTTGAAACAGACAAAAATCTATTGCCCAATCCTTAAAGTGAAGTAACACTGGATAGTATAGGTGTCACTTAGGGATAGGTACTATCCTAAGTGACATCTATACCCATTCAGGTGAATGAGCTAATCAGTATCTTGAGTGATTTTGGAATGGGTAACACAGTGTTGGGTTCATGTTGGGACAGCCTGTTGAATTAAGGGTAAGATCAGTTTGGGAAGTTTTCTTTCCCTCCCCCTCCCACCCTTGAAACTTCTATTATGTGTAGTAAGATAGCTATCCAGTGGGCCTTCACAGTAAATAATCGATGTGAATATCATATATGCGTGCGCAATGCGGATCGAACAGTCATATTCATTTTGGATTTTCTAGCTTTAGGGTTTGGTCACTATCTATCATGAATCGAGAGAAACAGTTTGTTGCAAATACATATTGATAAGTTATGGTGATGACTAAGTGAGAGCAATTTACGCTAGTTTTAGCATTTTGCAACTTTGGCCCAGGTCCACGCCTCATAATTTGTTGACAGCACATTTTTAACTCATTTGTTATTAAATTTTCCTTTCAAATGAAAATGATCCAGACAGGTATTTAACTATTTTATGTGCCAATTATAACGCAGCTCCTTCGAAATTTGTTGCACCTCGGGAAATAGCAAAGACATCTTGCTCCCAATAGACCGACACGTGGTTGTAGAATCATGTCTCAGATTGAATTGACTTAAAATATGTTCCAGGTCATCTTTGTGCTGTGATGCTGTGAAAAGCTCTTGTGCAGATTCTTGTTGCGGACACGAAGATGGGATATTTTGTGACTGCTGTGCCAGAACAGAATCAGAAGTGCCGGCAGCAACGCATTTAAGCACTGGGGATAAAACATGCGAGATGAGATATACACCCGATGCTGACGGTATTCCTATCCATGAAATAAACAGCTGGAATAAATACAAATTCTTTAATCATAAAACCATGTCGGTAGACCTGTAAGTAAAAGTCACTCTGACGCTTTACTTTCGTCAGTTGGGATAGCATTTTAGAGTCTTGATATATTATCATTTTTTCACTTTTTCATTTTTTAGACCGGAATTTTGTTGCGAAAGTTTGAATCGTCTGAACAAATGTAAGCGTCCGGCAGTATGCTGCTACACGGACACAGAACCATTCTGCAAATGCGATGCCCCTGGTGAAGATATCGGGTCCTTGTTTAAATATATCAAGAGCCAGAGGCCGGTAGCTGTCATTGTAAGCAAAGCAAGAATAATGGATGCAGAAGCGAAAATGAAAAAATACAGCAATACATTGTGTTTCAATGATACGGTGTCAGGTGCTGGAGATGCACTGTCGAGTGGAGGGGACACTTGGGTAAATTTGTAAGTCAGTTTTTTAATAGGACAGTGCTTTGCCCAGCAATCACAATAGGTTATATGTGATCCATCAAGCGTTGATTTTGTTGGTTACAGTAGACCTATAGCTACCATACACGATAAAGAACGAATGGCTATAGACACCCCTGGGGTCACTTAACATTTTTTGAAAAATGCAATGTCGTTAATATCCTTGATATGTAGGACCAAATTGTAGATAAATATGTATATTTTCAAGATATAGCAATGAAAAACATTTAAGATTACTGATATAAGTATATTTTGGTTGATTTGGGAGGTATGTATCACTTCCTGTGAAAATGTGATTTTTTTATGAGTCTCAGAAAATGTCTCCAGAATATATGTTATGTTATGTTATGTTATATTTTATTTATGTCTCACGCCATTTAAAATACATACAATTATAAAACAATAATATTAAAATCGTCTGGCCCGGCCGGTGTCGACCTATGAGAGACTAGATTCATTATGACTATATAAAAGGTTAAATTATCACAGTACGTCTTTTTAAAATCATTTTTATAAGTGTTTTGGATAGTGTCCTTTGTAGGCTCTGTGTTGACATAATATTGCAAAATTGTTGAATATGGTTAAGCTGGTGAAAGTCAGGAATTTCCTTAACACAATCTAAAAAAATGGAGTTCTATATATAATAAATATATATAAACCCAATTTGGCAGATGTCCCATTGTTTGATTGTGTCACTCTATACATTCATTGGATTAATATTTTGTACACATAAATAGTCATTTTACAATATTCATTGAGGGGGATTAGTTATGTTTGCAATTGTGTTGACCTACTTATTTTTTAGAGAGAGGAAGGTCATGATAAACTCTTGCTCTGTTCATACAACGCCTGGTTTTTACCTAGAAAGTTATATGCATTGAGGGATTAGTGTACTTCTAACGTACTTCTTGAGGTATATAAAAATCTAGGTAAGGACCAGGCGTCATGCAAAAATGGAACTTTTATGCAATTTTCAGCATGAATAAAATGATGTCAGCCATTTCGAAAATCCTTAGAATGATTGTGACAATTGTGTTTTATATATTCAAGTATATTTTCTTATCTAATAAATCATAATTTCATGAACTAATATTTATGCTTGCACTGAAGCATGACCTCTAGAGAAGCATATATTTTACCATGGCTCTAAACAACATAATAACTTGTAATTCCTTTCTATACATTCATATAAATGTACATGCAAAATTGAGATGATTGATGTACAATCATTTAATCTTCATGTGACAGGCGTCATTTTTGTCAATGAATACTTTTTTTTTATATTATAGTTCACTGGCTGATCAAACCAATGTTCATATTTAGAAATCCAGCTCAACTTTATTGTGCAGAAGAAATATACTGTACAATCACAATCAGTAGGCGGGAAAACGACATTTGCTAATAAAATGCCCAGAGCAAAGGGAATTGTATGAATAAACTGCAATCACTCATTACCCCCTATATTGAGACAGGGGGTTACATCTAAATCATAGTGAACTCTTTTGAGGACTTCCTTATTTTGACTGAAGACGATGTATGTCAACTCACTTTTGGTGTATATCAAGCCAACCAATCTAAACGATACACAGATAACCATCTTCAAATAGATGGGAAATATATGGCCTAATTTGTAAAAGCCCAGTAATAGGTTTGTGTCCTCTAAATCTCACTATACATGGGTGGAGTACAACCCAGATCCAGATATATGTAATAGTATTGATGCAATCACTGGGTGATGTTGTTCATGCCCAGTTAGGAGTAGGGCTGTAGGCACAAGGAGTATAAAAGCAAAAAGAAATGAACAAAGTTTGACATTTCAAAATCAAAAGATATGTCTGAAATGTTGTCATCTGAAGAAGATGATGATAGCTCATAGAGGCTCTTATATAATGAACAAACACATGAATGTGCTCATCTACAGAAGTACAACAGTTATGTAAAGTCCAGCGTAACCTTTTAGAAATTGTTATATTTAATGTGTTTTCAAATGTTGCCCCCTGTGCTTCCTCATTGTGATGCAAAATAATGAATTCAGTATTTTACTGCCACTTTAAAATAAACTGTATATGAGCAATTGATCTCAAGCAGATCAATATTTGATCGATTGATATGCATCTTTGACTTGTTAATTGCTTCGTGTGTTTTTTAATGTTACCCCTTGTTCTTTCTCATTGTGATGTAAATTAAAAATCTAAATATTCTTTCCTGACATATTTTTGTAGACAGTTGATCTCAATGAAGTATACAGAAGATACTATTCAATATTATTTAGCATTTTTGACTTGTTATATTTTATGTGTTTTCGAATGTTGCCCATTATGCTTTGTCACTATTATGTAAGATAATATCAAGAGGATCAATTAAAAAGTCTTGAATGACTGTAAATAATGATTATATTGATATTAAATAGAAACAGTGAGAATAATGATGTGAAAAGAGTGATTTTTTCCTTCAAAAGGTCATTTTATATATGTTAATAGAATGACCTATATTTTGAAATATAAAGGTCAGATTGACCTAATTTTTGGATCTGGTTATCAAACGAAGTCCCTTCTTTGATATCCTGTACAATTTCTTCTAAATATCTTGGGGGCTAATATAGGGTCTTAAAGGCACTCGTCCTTTACTTTTTACTTTGAAATCGATGAAGCCATTTCCAAGTCGTCGACGGCATGTAAAGACCCCTGTTACACAGGCCAGTTGAAATGCTTCGTTACGAAGCAATTTGACAAAAAGCTTCGTAACGAAGCAATTTTGGGCCAGTGTAACACCTCCGCCTTCGTTAGAAAAGCTTAGTTGATAACGAAGCAATTGAGTAGAAAATTCAACGAAGGTTAGGTCCCAACGAAGCTTTTTTGGCCTGTGTAACAGGTAGCTTCGTTAGAAATTGCTTAGTTGGCGGTTTGCGCATGCGCGTAACAAAGAGCACATTCATCATTTTGTATTAAATGAGAGGAATTGCGAGGAAAGAACATGTTTTTAAGTACGTATCATTATAATGCCACGTTTTGATTAAAATAATTACCTATTTGCGTCACTGATTGACGCTAACTCAAGCCCTAAACGCCACGTACAAATGTGATTTACCGTCTTTCGTAGCATTTCATTCGATTCCCTGCCTTTCCTCGCATTGATATGACAAAACGTATTAAATCTAAAAAACTCAGGTTCACCGTATATATGTATACGGTAGCTTTGAAACGTTTATCTGATCTATTTGAGAATAAACCTAGAATATTTAAATGTCCCTCTTTCGGAAAACTCCGTCTCAAGTGTGGAGGGGTAAACTTTTGAAATTACATAAGATATGCTTACTAAATAGAAAGTTGTGGCATACATGTTTAATATTAATTTTTTCTTGCGCCTTGAATAATTATACCTTGAATGTAATTCTAAAGGTGTTAATACCATGATACTGATACAATTGCTTCCCGGTGAATCACATCAGGTGAATTTAGCCGATTTGATTGATTCGAAAATGTCTCTCTTCAGAAATCGTATTCAACTGGCTATCGCCCCATTGCAATACTTGTACTAGTCGTTCCATTATTCTATTCTTCGACGATTTTAAATTGTAATTGAATTTAAACTTCATGTTTAAATATATTGAATTAATTACGTTTCAAAACTTCCGTATACAAATACGGTAAAACCACCTGCGGACAAGGAACGGTGGCCAAAATTGTTTCGTGTCGACAGATATTTGCCACAGAGAGGCTGCATGTTTTAGGCCAGCCCCAAACACTATTGATGTGTCGTAAGACTATGCTTACAACTGATATTCAAGTTTCTTCCTATTTGCGCCATTTTCGAATTCAACGGACGGCTGATGGATTAACATACTAATTTATGTCAAACTCACTCAAATATGCATGGAATATTGGCGAAACGGGTAATATTCATATTAAGATGAATTGGTCATGAAATAGTAGTTAAACCACCAGCCGAACACCAAGATATTTTAGTAATGGCTACACTATTTGAAATATACTGAGAAGTCCATTTGGAAATTGAACGTTTTTATACGATATTACATACTAGTCCTCTGTATAAACCCCAAATCCAATTCCTCCTAGTAATTGACATAGGCCTATTTTTATTCCATATGTTTTCCAAAGGAAATGATTGAAAATGAAAACAATACTTGTAATCGTATTGACAGGTGAAATATATAAAAATCGAAATGATAGGAAAAATGTATGGACATGTGTACGGAATGATCACATTCATCTGGTTTTATTTTCCCGAGAATTTTGATCTAGTCTTTTTCTGTGCTGAATTGTTAAAATAAAGATTAAAAATTATATTTTTGAGTTTCATCAATTGTTTATATCAAAAGAATAAAGATATTAATCATAATAAGTGGGTGGGGCAGATGAGTAATGCGCACGCGCAACGAAGCATTTTAAGTGCAGTGTAACACCAAATAATTGCTTCGTTAGGGTTGGATATAGCCAGTGTGGACACAATTTTGTCGCTAACCTTCGTTACAAAAATGCTTCGTTAGACTCAACCAAGCAGTGTAACAGGTACTTAAGAAGCCTCCCCCAAACAAGCTCTGATGTGTAAACTCAAGGTAGAATAGTTGACGTGACATAGTGTAGTTGGTATCTAGATTTTACGAGGGGTAGTATAGTTCTCCCGCTTTTATTTCATCTGCTGATAAACATTTGACCAGAAATCATTTATGGGAACTCCAGTGTGTCATTTTAAAGAGATCGAGCAGCCATGCCAGAATATCAAAGTATCACAAAAAATGTTTACATTTTGGGAGATATCATCACTGACAAAATGTTTCCAAAATCAAATCAAATCAAAAGTAGGCATTGAATTAAAGTATGGACGGATTGGAATAGTCTCGTATATCAATGATGCATTCGAACTCGAAATGGTAAAGATTAAAAGGTGGATTGGATCGAGTGGATTGGATTCATGTAAAAGGTGGATTGGATTGGGAATCTTCAAAATAGGGATTTTACTTAAAAAGTTCTATTGATCTCCCTCTAAGAAGATTGTTGCTCTCCTCACTTCCACAATGTCAAATAATAGATGTAATATTATTTTGCATGGGTGGGTTAAACTGGTGACCAAGTACCTGCTCAATGATACACAATATTATTTTCATTCCAAGGGTAATTTTAGACTTTTCATAAATCATAAGGCAGACTGGTTTGAAGATCTATATCATGTTTTCAATCCAAACTGAGAATAGCAGAAATGTTTTGCGAACATTCACACATAAATTTGAATGACAGCTTTTATCTACAGATTTATGTTTATGATGTCTTACAAACGTTGTTTTACAAGGGAAAGCAGTTAAATACTTAAGAGTATCCATGCACTAATTGGAGTATGTATTTATCATTGCTTTGTTCTGATTTCTCAAAAGGGACCTGTAATACTGGAGAGGGAAATCAACAGAGGAAGATCAACAGAAAAAATCGTATAAGAAATTCCATATTTTGAAGACTCCCGATCCAATCCACCTTTTACATGAATCCAATCCACTAGATCCAATCCACCTTTTAATCTCTACCCTCGAAATAGCCTGGTCAAGCCGGAATAGTCGGGGTTTATCAAAATGTAACGTTCGATGTCACTATGATCTACAGATATTGTTTTTGTTCTATTTCTCGAACTTTTCATTTAATATGTTGCAGGAGTGACAAATGTTGTTTGTTTAAAGAAGCGACATTTTTAGGAAAGTGTTGCCGTATTGATGAATACGAATATTGTTTCGATTGCGCAGATGACACTTTCACAGCAGAGAAAACCCCATCCGATTGTTTCATACAAGTATCCAGTGAAATGAGCATTGCCAATGACAGGCTACCACCAAGAGAAAGAGTTCAGAGTGTGTATGTACAGGGTGTCAAATATATGGTATATTCCTGCTTATTTCTGAGAAAATACCAATACCGCATATGCAACATTGAAAGTAGGTTCTAATTAGAGGCCCCACGTGAAGTTTGAGAATCGAAAATTGTTTGATCATCAAAACTTAATTATTTATTATGACTTTAAAAATATTAAAATTTTCCTAAAAAAATTGTTTGTCTTTAATTTGAAACCATTAATAATAAATTCTGTACGCCTAATTTGAAATTCTTTTCTGTTATTGTGAGTAAATTCCATTTTATTTTTTCAACAAATATTCTTAATATTTGCTGTTTATTGATATTTATAATGTACAGTTTCATAGACAATAGCGGGTTGAACCTTTACATTTGAGGCCCTACAATAATGTTTCAAATATTATCCGTAAAAATGAAAATATATTTAAAGTCTCATCGTTTTAAGCAACGCCCTCTCCATCTCTATCCTTGATGCTACGAGTATCACATCAGACATTCTTGGCTAAAATGATAAATGCTTGAGAATTTCAATGTTTTTCTAAACATCAATGTTCAAATGAATTGTTGTTTCAGCTCATCGGTATGTTGTTCCATCTATAAATACAAAAATTGCACGACCAAGGAAAGTTGGCCATTCTGCAGACCAGGTTCAGATTCTGACTCACCACAAAGCAAGCGAAGGTGATTTTTGTATCATATAAATCATAACATTGTTGTTTTTCTCAATTTCGGAGTTATCAATGACCCACTTTGCAGAAAGTTGCAGAAAAATGTAAATTGCAGAAATAAATAAATTAAATCGTCAAGACCTACACAGAGGTAGTACTATTTCTATAAAGGTAGAATCTCTAACAAATCGACATGATAATAAGCTAAGATGGACCTAAATTGATCATGTGAAAGTTATAATAAGTTTGATCAATTTAAAATTGTCGCAACTGAACATATTACACATATACAGCATAAAATCGATTTCCAATCGTTCGACATTTTAACCGGAAACTACTTTCTTGTTCACCTTTAAACTAAAATAGATGTTTTAAATCGAGAAAAATATCTGTAATTGAAAATTGTATTGAGATGTAAACTTTTCTTACTGTTTTGTTGACACCTATCCGTTTTGTCAATGCTGACCATCTGACAAATAAGAATAAGAAAAATGAAAAGACTTGAACGAAAACACGTTAAACAGTTATACAAAGACCTGTGTTCACCGAAAACGACTTGCAACAGAAGTATGGATTCAGATTCGTTGGTTCCCTATGATGCCGACATGTAAGTTACTAAGATTTACGACATCTTAAATGTCACTCGACTTTTTTGTAATTTTGAATCACAGAAAGCATTCTGAAGTTTCAAATTGGCGCCACGTTTAATTTTTGGCATCCGCCTAATGTATATCACTTCACCCTTGGTATACGCAGCTAACGAAAATTGACCGGTACGGGTCAAAAGCTGGACCGGTACGGGTTAACGGTTTTATTTGAATTTAAAATAGCCATAACTTGCTCAATATTGACTTCCTCGTGTCTAATTTGAAATATATGATGCCTCTCGATGCTTTTAAGTACCCCAATTTTTTACAGATTTTTAAACGGACCAAAACTCTCTAAATGCGCATTTATGCTCTTTTCTCTCGAGAACGACTGTCTCATTTTCACGATAACTTTTATTTAGTACTTCTAACATATAAGATCTATTTTTCCCAATCAAGGTATGATGTAAATGACATGCTATTTACATCTTGTGAGTTTCAATGACGCGCGTTTGATTTTATAAAAAATGCCAAACTTTGTGACAAAGAATTTCATCCTGCTTGCAGCGAGAAGACGGACCGGTTCGGGGCAATCTGCTTGCAGCGAGAAGACGGACCGGTTCGGGGCAATAGCTGAATTTTCGTTAGCTGCGTATACCAAGGGTGCACTTACCTTTTATTGATTCTTTCATGAGTTTCGTCATAAATTCAGTTTGACCAGAAGTAAAATGATCATTTGAATAAATGGAGATCCAGAAATATGACACATAAATATATGGTTATACGCATTTATTACTGTAGTTCAATACATTGATATCGGTATTCTTTATGGTTATCTGACAGGGTTGCGGAGTGTTGTAAGATGATGAATTGTAAGGATAAGTGCTGTGATATTGACGGGAGTCCTTTCTGTAAATGCTGTAAATCTAACCCAAAAGGGAGAAAATCACAATGTGACACCAAGTCATGTTTTGTAAAAACAGCGCCCCCAACGATAGTCCTTGCAAAGGAGTCGCCTGCGGATCAATGCGATACACCTTTATTCTTGTAAGTCAGAATTTCAGTTCACATCCGTTACACAAATTGAAGTTGCAAACTATATAGAATTTAGAATTCTGAATTTATTAAGGCACGGCCACTGTGTTATCAGGGCAAGGCCAGACTACTGTATAGGTCCTTGCCCGTAGCCAGCTTTTACCAAGATGGGGAGCTTTTTGTGGGGGGAGTTTTTCGTTAGTTTTTGGTTGAAATTCATTCGAAAAGTGCTCAGAATGGTGGAAAACTGCATGATTTTGAAAGAATTTCTAGCCAAGGGGGGGGGGGGGTGGGCTCCCCCAGCTCCCCCTTTGGCAACGGGCACGAGGTGTACATTTGGCGATTTCTTTCGATTAGAAAAGCACCACGTTAATATAATTATATTATATCTTTGAATAGCTATAGCTTATTAATATGAAAAAATATAGTGTCATATTCTACTTTAAATGACAAAATATGTAATCCAGGCACGAGATATGCTGTGTCATGAGGCAGTGCGAGAACACAGGTGGAAATGAGACATCGTGCTGTGTCAGTGGAGATCTACAAAATCCATGTCACTGTTGCTTAAACGAAGAATAGCGTGGAATGTCTAATATGATGTACAAATATATAGTTGCTCAAATATGGATATTGACACTTCACAAATCTTGATTAGTTATGAATAAAAAAGTAATAAAAATTGATTCGTTTATTTTGTAATGGAACATGACCTTGAGTTCAATCGCAGTACACTCCGAATGCAACCGACGGTTCTCTCAAGTATAAAACGTGTATTTCCACCATGACATTTCATAAATATATATGCATAAGTACCAAACGGAAAAATTGCAAAGAGTCCCAAAGCAGAGCAAAAACGAAACACTATAAAAGCCATCATTCAATATCGTCAAAATATAAAATGTTTGTAAAATGCCAGTGGATATTGGTGGATAGACAGAAGTATACTTGGCAGGGTATATAAGTATGTATGGGTTATGTTAACGAAGACACAATTCACGTATTTAGTCCCTCGCTTTTGTTACACTGACGAACGACCAATATCAGTGTAATATTGGCAATATTAATGCCGATCGTCAGTGTAACAAAAGCGAGGGACTAAATATGTGAAATGCGTCTTCGTTAACATACCAAACCTAATACCATCGACACATTCTCAAACTAGACTATCTCCCATAACTTCGAGCCAAATTATAATCCACATCGTGACTTATAAGTAGATGTAAATCGAGAAATAAATTACCGAATTCAAATCCCGGAAGTAGTTCCGCCATGATACACTGACGATACGTCTGTGTAACTAGGTGGGTAGCAGTGATATTATTTATATCTTTGTTTAATCATCCTTCTTCTTCCAATTAAAGAGACTGTAAGCATTACTTCCAAGCATTACTTCCTGGGTAATCCTGGATCTCCCATATTCTCATATTCAAAGAAGTTTAGTTTGTTAATAACTGTACAGGTATAAAATATGGGACACTTTTTGACAAGGATAAAAAGAATTTTGGTGTTAACATATCACGTCCCATTGTTCCTAATAAGAATCGCTCATATTTTTTCTTAATGAATTATGACATGCTATTGATTATTTAAATATTTGTAATGGGAAACTTCGGCATACTAGTATACAGTACACATAGCCATTGACAAATTTTGACGAGAGAATGACAAGTTAAACATTGTTTTCTTCATTTTTATGTTATATTTATGTTATGTTTTATGTACGACATCCCGTTCATCTCTCGCTGAATTTCCCCATATCGAATGGCCTATCATTATTTATTCCCTAAATAAAAAACGTTGTCTAATTTTGTCAGACATATTGTCAGACCTACATGTATATAGGGGAGCGGAGTGTATGACACTGAAAAAAACACGAAGCAAAAAGATAATATTTATTTATCAATTTATAGACCTCGTTGTTTAATCAACTGCTATTTCACAATGCATTCATGATGATGAAAACAACGAGAGATCAGCGATAACAATAACATTGTCTAGCTTTTATACTTCCTGCATGAGAAAATAAACGTCCTGCATGTGAAAAGGGCACCAAAGTGCGATATAAATTAAATGCAATTTGTTGCCAATCATTTGGTATCACGCATCGGATTAAAACAAAGGTAAGTAGCATAGATTTAGGGTATTCTCAAACGCAAAAATATATAGCTAGTTGACATGACAACTCATGTTTGCGACTGAAAAGTTGTAAGTAAGCTTGCGAATAATTTTTATCGCTGACGGATCAGCTATAGCTAGCTAGTCAATTAAAATCCAAGTAGATGCTAGCCTAGCCCATACCCCATACTTTAGAAACATAAACCATACTGGGACATCATTGGTTAGATGGCCAATGAGTGAACTTATGACTGACAGGTCGAATTTGAAACTACATTCTCACTACATAAAACACTTAATTACATTTGCACATCTGTTAGTCATGATAACATAATTATATAGACTCTTGACAGTTACACATAAAATAGTATTTTTTGGAATAATTACTTTTGTGTATATGCTGCCTTTAACTGAATGTCAAGGTCACTTCAACGAAAAATACAATCTTTACTTGACATAATTATTTATGATTCGTATTTATACTTACACTCCACAATTCATAAATATCTATTACAATCTGTCAATGGAATAGAAAATGTTTAATATATTCTTGCTCAATCAAATTCACGAAATGTTTTTATGATTTAGTTCAATCTTTCATAATTTACTTTCATTGAATTTAAAAAGCCCATAATTTTGAACTTTTCACCTTACTTGAAAATCGTTGAGATAAATTGTTGAATAGCTATGTCAGTAAGAGGCAGTAAGAGGCCTCTTTACTTTATGTTTTAACAACTCCATAACCATAGTGACATTTCTACCATATATGAGTACCTTTAGAAGAACTTAAGATCGATATTAACACTCGGAATCATTATAACGGTGTTATTTTTACACTTATATAAATCATTTTTCGCGTACTTTGTGACTTTATTTAGAAGTGTTCCGCTATTGGGATTTTAGATAGGGATTGTTATTTTCATACCTATTTCATCTGTATTATGCAACGAGATAAGTGTTCTTGATTCTTTTTTGTATAGTGACGCACTATTTTGCATGATTGAATACTATCTAGTATCCAGTCTGAGACAATAATTAAACTAAAATTCAGTAAAGTGGCGGATATTCGTGCTAGTTTCAGTAGAGGCTTTTTCAAATTGCTTTGAAATCTTGCTGAAGTCTGGTTTTCAGTGAGTTTTTATGAGATCTACATTTTTAACCATTAAAAACCATTTCTTCAATTTGATCATTTTGATGGAATATTGGAGTTCTTTGTGTAATTTTCTATCACAAAAAACTTTAATTTTCACAGTTATTTACCTTTATTCAACTTTCAATTTGCAAAGAATTCCATGTTTTCTGAAAAATGCCGGACTCAATCCCCATTGACACAGTGTTGAAAAACATTTTAAAGTTCATAAGGATCACACGATTAAGGTTTAATCACAAAATATATGTTAACAAGATCATGTGTAGTTGCATTCCAAGTGGTGTATTATATGTTGATTTATATTGGAAACCATGGTAGATCAAGAAATGCCATATGTCTCCCATGTATTTTGGCCCTACCATTTTCTACAAACACACGTGCTGCAATCAATTTTTTGATCTATATAGAAAATAGTATATTGATGAAGTGTATTATTAATACAGGGCGGGCCAAAAAGGTGAACCAAACAAATTTTAATTTCTCAGTCATTCAGCATGCGTTTGAAAACATACTTGGCATAATTAAACCTCGTTCACTGTTCTTTCATTCCATTAATTAAGTTTGATTGGTCTATCCCTAGTGGTCACAATTTTACTAAACTGGTCACTTTTTACTAAACATGCTATAAAATGCGAGTGTCGAGTCTGGGGGCAAACTTGAACGAAGTTTTTCACTTCAACAGCATAAATGTCATGTGTGATGACTCACATCTTCCTTCTTACATATTGTCACAATGTTAATGTAGACATTAGTCCCATAGATAAAAATCTGGGATGTTTCATGTCTGGTGAGTGCAACCTGTTTCGGCATTTGGATGTATTGTATATGTTGTTGTTGTTGTTTTTTTTATTATCATAGTAATTTTTTTTACAAAGATTTTTCAAAAAGTTGCCGAAGCAAACATTATATTGGCAACTATACATATAAACACACTACAATAAAATTATACAAAAATATATAGATTTTGACAATACAAAAATGGGCTGCTGGTGGTTGGTTGGTAGTTTGGTTGGAGTAGGTGAAAGGAATAGGTAGCATGATCTTATTCAACAAGTTTGATAGATTCATTAATAAAGGTACTTGTAATAGACAAAACTTCTCTATTTGTTTCAATATTTAAAAAGTTAATTCCATACAAAAGAGTTTCAATTTTATCATCTTGTTTCAAATTGTTAAAGGAGAAATTTATGTCATGCATGGTAAATAATCCATTTAGCCTGTCAAGCATTTGGTGTCTTATATCATTGTTGAGGCGACAGTGTAAGAGGAAATGCTTTGTGGTTTGTTTTAAACCACATCTACATACATCAGAATCGATAGTTGTAAAAGAGTGGGCCATTTTATGTGCATTTAACAAGAGGCCAACACGTAATTGGTTCAGTTTGATTTCCGAATTACGGGGAAGAGATAAATTTTGTGAATTTGTCTGAATATTTTGAAAATTTTGGAAGTGCTTTTTGATTTGGCCTTTGAAAGAAGAGATAGTAGGCACCTGCCTGAGCTGTAATGGTAAGGAGTCCCAAATTTTAGAAAAAAGGATAGCTCCACTATCCTTGAACCTGGTAGAAATATGTAATGGGATGTGATAGGTTGGCCTATCCCTTAACTCTATTCCTATTGGTACAGGTGTCAAAAGTCTAAAAATATCTCTGATATATGAAGGGCACATATTATGTTTTACCTTGAACATTAACACACCTATGTGTGATAATCGTCTGGCTTCTAAAGTTGGCCAGTTTAGAATTTTCAAAAGTTTGTCGCCATTTGATCCATGCAGAGCTCCAGATACTAAGATTGCAGCTCTATAGTGCAAGGTATCTAGCAATTTTAAGGTTGTTTTGTTACTGCCGTGGTATAAAATGTCACAGTAATCGAAGTGTGGAGAAATATAAGAATTGTAAATAAGATCAAGGTGAGCTGACTTTACTTTATTTTTAATGGCCTTTAAGGGATTTAACATTTTCTGGACCTTTGCAGTTAGTTCTCTTACGGATATAGTCCTGAGTAAGGACATTAGCGGTTACCGTTAGTGATTTGGTTTTCTGAATAAAAAGTCATTTTCTCCTTCCCTACCCCATTGGAGCGCCATCTAGCGTTTGGGAAGTGAATCGGGAATAAATATTTATAGGGTAGGTCCTAATTTATCTGAAAACATGTCAGAGTTCAGTGGGAAATCTCATTTTAAGCTGGCGGCGGAGTGATTTTGACCTTGGTGATTTTACCAGAATTCTCTGAGAAATCTGACGATAGAGGGGGTTAGTGTCTTCAAGTTTATTTATTTCAAAAATTCGGTGGACAACCCATGGTAAGATTGTTATAGCAGGCTAGGCGAGTCTCTCCCGAACACTGTGGTATGTTGCACTAGGCTTGGATACTAATCGTTAA